AGTTTGAGAAAAAATAAGAGAAATGAAAAAAAGCTTACAGGAATTTTGGGACAGCATTAAAGGAGCAAATATTTGAGTTATGAGGATTTAAGAGGTATTTGAGAATGCCAAAGAGACAGTTAACAGAAAACTTCCCAAGCCTAGAGAAGGAAACAAATACCCAGGTACATGAAGGTCAAAGGTCACTAGGCAGATTTAGCTCAACAGAATGCACTCCAATATATACTATGATCATGCTCTCAAAGGTTAAAAGGTAAGGAGGAGGTCCTCAGGGAAGCAAAATAGGAGAGGCAAAACAAAATTTTCCCAGTTTCCCTGGCAGCTGACTTCTCAGCAGAAACCACATAGGATAGCAGAGAGTGGCATCACATTTTTAAAGTACTAAGTTCAAACAAACAACAAACAAAAAATAGCCCTGCCAAGCTACCTAGCTATTCTTAGAAATGATAAAGATACCCACAGACAAACAAAAGCTGATATGTGCCCTACAAGACCTGTCCTGTAAAAAATGCTAATGGAGTTCTTCACACTGAAAGAGATGTTAATGAATAAGAAGAAAACATCAGAAGGTATCAAACTCACAGGTAAGAGTAAATATTACTGGTATTAGAGAATTACTGGTATGTAAACCATTCATATGTTTAGAATGAAGACTAACCAAAAGTAATAACTTACATTAGTATGTGATGTAATAAAGAATATAGAAAGACATAAAATGGACATCAAAGTTTCAAAATGTGGGAAGGAATGAAATACAAATGTTGAGTTTATTAGTGTATTTTCTGTTTTTTTACTTCTTTTCTTTATGAGAATGTTATGTTGCTATCATTTTAAAATAGCTTAATATAATAAAAAAATATATTCATAAGCTTCATGGTGACCAAAAAGCAAAAATGTAGAATATGCAAGCCATAAATGATAAGCAAACAGCATTAAAAACACTATAGTAGAGTAAAACACTTAACCACAAAGGAAGATTTAAAAAGGAAGGAGCTACAATAAAAGTAGAAAACAAGCTACAAAATGACTGCAATATGACCTTACCTATCAATAATTATCTTCAATGTAAATGGATTAAATTGTTTGATTAAAAGGTATACTGTAATGTGACTGAATGGATTATAAAATACTACTCAACTATATGCTGGCTATAGGAAATTCACTGCACCTTTAAGGATCTGTATAGACTAAAAGTGAAGGGATGGACTAAGATATTTCATGCAAATAGAATTCAAAGAATGACTACATTTATATCAGATAAAATAGAGTTTAAATCAAAAATTAAAAAAAAATAGGGAGGAGGGGAAGGTGGTGCCTAGCCTGCCAGGTCTTCTGATATTTGGGTGAAAGCAATAACTCTCACATTCTGCATGCGTCTAAAGCCAGCACCATGTGAATGATGCCTAGGTCTGCTGCCAGCTGGAGTAGTAACCTGGCTTCCTTCATCTTGGCTGTAGGGATTGAGTGCGTGGATTGCTGAACACTCTGAACTCAATCCTGAGGAACAAATTCTCTAGGCCACCACTGTTCTGGAATATGGTGCGCTGGGGCTCTCTTCTCAAAGCAAAGTCTTTCACTTTTGCAACTCTGAGGCTGATAAGGCTGTAGTCATGCTGGTTCTTGTATGTCCTAAGGCCATCCTTTCTGTTGTCCCCTTCCTTCTCAGTGAATGAGATCTTCTCTGGTCTATCTTTGCAGTCTTCAACTTTACTTCCTTTCTGACCAAACTCAAAATATTTTAAATCACTTTTCTGGGTTCCTTTCTCTTGATTCTTAACATAAATCTGGCTAAAAGTCTCCAACATTAGCCATGTCATAGCCTCAACATTAGAGTGCCTTGCTGGGCATGGTGGCACATGCCTGTAATCCCAGCAATCAGGAGGTTGAGGCAGAAGGATCACTACAAGTCTGAGGCCAGCTTGGGCTACATACTGAGTTCAAGGCCAGCCTGATGTGCATAGTAAGACCCTGTCTCAAAAAGACCAAAAAAAAAATTAGACTGTCTCCAAATTTTTTCTGCCAGATTAGTCTACAACCCTTAATCCATCTCAGGCAAAGTCTCTGGACACGAGCAAACTGCAGACAATCTTTCTGCCAAGGCATAACACACATTGCCTGGAGTACAACATCTAATGCATTCCTTCTTCCCAGCAGAAACCTCTTGAGCCTGGTCTTTACTAGTAGCATTTCTATCAGCATTCTGGCCTTCTGAGCCCTGATCAGACTCTCCCATCAAGTACAGCTTAAGGCATTCCAGGACTGCTTGTTCAGATGGCATCTCTGAACCTTTCCAAACTCTTCCCACAAGCTAGTTCTAAAGACTCCTATACCACATGGCCAGGTAATGTCACAGCAATGACCCCACTCTTGGTACCAAATTCTCTCTTAGTTACTTTTCTCCTTGCTGAGACAAATATCTAACACCCAAAGTTAAAGGAAGGAAGATTTATTTACCTCACAGTTTGTAGATCTTTTAGTTCATTGTTGGCTGGTTCCAAGACAGGGTGGCAAGGCAGAGTGGCTCTGAAAAGCACGCAGGCAGAAGACAGCAAGCAGTAAGTGACCAGGAACAACTCTCTCTCTGTCCCTTTTATCTTATTCAGGTTACCCACCCTGAGGACAACTAGCACTCACACCTTTAATCCTAGCATCACATCCTTAATCCCAGAATCACACACTTTAGATCCAGCCACCTCCAAAAAGCCCCACCTATGGCTGCATGAGGCTTTGGGGGATATCTAGATATAAGCCTTAACAGTTAATCAAAATTGCCTAACCCTACACCTTCTGACTTTGCACAGAAACAGGGGACAGATTGGTATCACATTCTTGATTTTATTAGTTTTTCTTGTACTTATTTGTGTGTTTAGTTTTGTGTTAATTTTATCACAAGTACTATACAGTCTAGTAAAGAGATAAGAATTAGGTAGCTTTGTCTTGACACATTCTTCCATTTTGAAGCCTGCCAACCATGTACTGACTCCTCCAAAACCATGAGCTAAATTAAACTGCTTATCGTCTATGTTGTGGATATTGGGTATTGTGTTCCAGTGATGAGAAAGCTGAATAACACACCATATATGCAAAAGGAAAGTAATATATATGATTACCTGAAACTTTCATTTGAACATATTTTTAAGAAACATTTAAAAAGCTGATGGTATGTTTATTCCTAGGAAGCAAATGCTTAGTGTAAATAAGTTGTAATGCATCTGAGAGAAAGCCTATAGGAGACCCTGGTAAGATTCCATGCAAGACTTTATCTCCATTCCTCTAGTAAAAGTCCTAGCATGGAAGTCCAGCCAGTCATATACCTCCCTGGAGAACACTGAATTGAATTTGAATTTTCTGGGGCTTGTTTCTGCAAGCCTCAGACCCTGAAGCAATGTTGTCCTTCTTGCATGGACTAAAAGGAGAACTCTTACTAACAGTCACTGGGAATCCATACAAACTAAGTTTGAGTACTACTCATTCCCTCCACTAACTCAGTCTTTTTTTTTTAACTTTTAAAATAAATAAATTTAAATGTTACACCTAACAAGTATAATTTCTCTAAGTATTTACCCATCCTTCAACATCTATGACAAACAAAATGTGAAAAATTCAATGAAGATGTGCCAAGCTATATTATAGCCTGAAATAAAAGGGAAAATTGGTAATATTAATCCTGTATATATTTAAATTTATAAATGTATCATTGAATTTTACATTGACCTTTATTTTTATTTTTTATTTTTTATTTTTTTTTAATTTTTTTGGTTTTTCTCTGGTACCGGGAACCGAACTCTCGACCTTGCCAGTCAGGCACTTTTGCCGCTGAGCTAAATCCCCAGCCCCGACCTTTATTTTTAAAAAGTACATTAAAAGAACATTTGTCTTGATTATTGACTTTTCTCAGGACCCCTTCAATTTTATACTTCGGGTGAATGAATACTATTTTGTTATTTTTTTCTCTTTTCCTTTGGAGACATTTTTCAGACTTTGATCACAGTGTTGGCTTGTTAGCTATACCTTTCTTTTTGCAGTGATCGTGCTAGAATTTATAATACCATCTTTAACTTATCTCTTCCTTTGGTACTATACACTTTTTTTTTGTTTTATTTGTTGGTGCCAGGAATTGAACTGATGACCTTGTGCTTGCCAGGCAGGCACTATGCCACTGAGCTGCATCCTTGGCCCAATACTATACACTTTTAAGTAAGATATAAATTGCTTAGCAGTATACTATCATCTAACCTTTCCCGTCGTTTAACCTGGTGCTATCACGAAGTTCACCATACACTGTTACTTATTTTTGATTTAAGTAAGCAATTTTATTTTTAAAAGACTAAAAATATTTTAAAACTTTTTAACATTTACTTATAAATTTTCAGTTTTAACATTCATAGTTTTTTTGAATAATTACATCCAAGTTTCCACTTGATGTCATTTCTCTTTATGCCTAATAATTTCTTTTAATTTTTCTTACAGTGAGGGAGTAGGTACTTTAATGAGAAAAGAAAAGAGAGTTATATAAAATCATAGACTATCCAAAGCAAAGTGTAGATGGCAGAACCAGGAACTTGTCTAGTGATACTGTCTGATGTGGAGGGTCTAGGATTAGAAATACTCAGGGCAGACACCTACCTGGGAAAGGGGTCAGAACAACATGAGGAAGATTGTATGGATGCTTGCTTAGTGTAGTCCTCTGGACCTCAGGCCCTGCCTTGTCCCCACCTCATTCACCTTATTCTTAGGCCAGTATTCTACCTGCTGCTTTCCTCATGCCGGTGAGAGCTATGAACAGAAAAGTGACTCTTTTACCATCAGCAATATGACTATTAAAGATTGATCTCTGGGACAGAAAACTAGCCATATCAAAGTCCCTTGGTGAGATATGAGAGAGAGTAAAGAACCCTAGTATGACCAATGATCTTAAAGGGCTTTCTGGGGATTCTGCCTGCCAAGGTAACCAAGTTCAGCTTATCCACCCCTCCCCTCTTTTCTCCTTCTGCCTGCAGTGTCGATCAAGTGCCTTTTCTCATGCATGACTATGACTTGAGAAGAACAACCAATATCAGAGAAGTCATGCCAGAGGCTGCCTTTAACCACCCTTCCTCCTTCACTTGGCATAACTTGTCAAATCTGAATGCTGGCGAATGGTTCGTACGTCCAGCGGTAAGACACATTCCCTGGTTTCACAAGTTTGTCCGAATCCCTGTTCTATATGGGTTCATGTGCTGCTCCTTGAGGTAAAGGCCAGAGGTGAAGATACACAAATGTGCACTGCATTTCTTCCAAGTTTTGTAACAGGACCCTAGCGTTGGCAGTAGGGCTTTTCTGGTAATGCAATCCGTGATTGCTGCTTTCTGTATTCACCAGAAAGTCTGAATATAAACTTGTAAGCTTATTCTTGTTATGTAATTCCTCTTTACCTAAGCATTTGGCAACCTTTGACATATGTCTACCATGTAGGTATCATTTTTCTGGGCATTTTAAACTCACACTCTTACAGCTGAGGCAGATTAGGAAACATACATATTCAGCAAATATTTATTGGGTACCTGCTGAGTATTAGACAACTGGAATATAATGGTGAATCCTCCATCCCTAATAGAATTCAAATTAGCATAAAAACAATTACAACATTGTGGTAAGTGTCAAATTAGACTTAATTTCAAGTCGCTTCAAGAGCACAGAAGAAAAATGTCTAACTCAGTCTGAGACATAGGATGAGAAATTCTGGAAGAATATTAGCTAATCATGGGTGCAGTAAAATACAAATCATGTGCTATGTACAGTGTAATTTTGAGATAAGAGTGAATGGTTCCTCTTGAGGAATTTAGATAATACTTCATGAGTATTATTAACACCATTTGTGTTACGGGGAGAGTGTTCTTAAGGGGAGCCATGGGCAGTGATGGTTATGTTTCAGAGCTATGTTATGCTAGAACAGGTGAGTGTGAGAGTGTGTGTGTGTGTGTGTGTGTGTGTGTGTGTAAAGGAAATGGAAAGACAGAGAAGGAAAGAAAGAAGAAGGAAGCAGGGAGACAAAACCCACTCAAAATTGAAGTGAGGAACCAACCTGCATGTAGTCAGTGAAACTAAAACTGAAATTAAATTAGATACAAACTTAGTGACAGTAAAACCGTAAACTTGGAAGCTATCTTTTCTTCCACAAAAAAGCATCTTCATTGGACAAAAATAATTTGTTTTGATCAGTTTTCTTCAAGTTCACATCTAACCTTACATGGTCTGAGCCCTAATCAGAAGTACAAAGTAATTCACACAAAGGTATCTATCTTAGTTACTATCTTAGTTACTTTTCTTGTTGCTGAGATAAAATATCTGACACCCAAAGTTAAAGGGGTAAAGAATTATTTAGCTCACAGTTTGTAGAGGATTCAGTCCATACTCAGCTGGCTCTAAAAGAAGACGACACATGGCAGAGGGAAACAGTTCATGGCCACGGAAGCTAACAAAAGCAACAAGGGAGAGAAGATAAGCCTCTTTTTGTCCCTTATATTGTATTCAGCCTACCAGGACTAAGGTGGTGCCAATCCAGTCAGTGGGCTGATCCAGCAATCACCCACCCTTATCCCAGCATTAGAGTATGAATCAATCACACAGGCTAGATGCTGCCTCTGAAAAAGTCCTCTGACCACATGAGGCTTTGGGGGGACATCTAGACACAAACCATAACAGGTACTAGTCAGAGGTAAAGAGCAGTTCAAACAAGTGTATGTTTCCCTGAGAGTGAGATAACCCATAGATGGGCTTAAGAATGCTCTGCTATGATATTATAATGTCAAGTTGTGAACTTTTTACTCTATTTCTAAGCCTTGAATAACAGTCCCATTTTGTGGTCATAACTTCTATTACTGAGAGGCTGGTCTAATATTGATTTTGTGTTATTTGGCTTTAATTTATGTAGGTGCAATAAAAAGCACTAGCTAACACACATGGTTCCTTGTGTAATCAGCAAATTTAGAGATCAGATTATGTTAAACAACTGTTAAGACTATTATGTTCTAGAGATTATATAGCGAATCTAGTTTTGTTTTTAATAGTACTTACTATTTCAGAGATCTTTTTTTTATAACTACTTACAAAATTTTTAAAAAAAACCTCACCTTTACTGAATTTCACCAGAATACCTGCAAATCTTGGCAAATTCTCCTCCTTTTCATGATAGCCTGTGACCTTCTTTATTACTTGCAATGTTGGAACAATGTACAACAGATATCAGGCAATTTGCCTAGGAAAGCTTATCAGCATGTTCCCAAATAGCAGTTATATCTTTGTCTTTACTGAGGACAAGGGATATACTTGAGTAAGTGGAATATATTATCAAATACAGTCCTCCAGACATGGCTTTGATGGTTCAATTTGACAAGTTACAACCTACTGAAAAGGAGGACAGATTTCTATGAAATCTGTGGAGATAACTACATTGCCACGAAAAGTAGAGAAGCAATAAAAGTATGTTCCTGAATTCCATAGGCTGAGTCAAACAAGGTGCAACTATAACATAGGAGTTAGAGAAGTATTTCTTTTCAAAGTCTTGTTTACCTGAGGCAGGAGGATTACCACAAGTTTAAGGCCAGCCTAGGCTGCACAATAAGTTCAAGGCCAGCTTGAACTCAGTAGCAAGATCCTGTCTCAAAAAAACAAAAGAAAAAATGAAGAAAGAAAGAGAGAGAGAAAGAATGAGAAAGAGAAAGTCTTTTTCACATGTCCACCAGAAAGTAGAACATTAAAACAATACCAACAAAATGCAAAATGAATAGTCATGATTAGATTGCTCTTTATCCACACCTGCAGTCGGTTACAGTGAATACCTTGCTATATGTGGGGTTATCAGTCTGCTTTCACAAAGCTATCTGGTCCAGGTCTGAAATGCAAGGTGGGAAGTCCTGACTCAGTCTCCTAATACAGAGGGAATGGGTGTTTGCTTGACAGAGCACCATCAGCTCACACTACCAGACCTGTTTTCATGAGTTTATTCTTTGCAATATCAATATATATGTGGCACAGTATTTTCAACCAGGATTTTGAGTTTGTTTTTCTTCCATTTTGTGGTCTGTATCTTAATGAAGAGACCTAGAGACAAGAATGTGAATAAACCAGGAACCACTTGATGTTATTAAACTGAATTAGTTTGGTTAATTTATTATAGTAAGCAACAGTACCAGAAAGGAGAAGAACTGGGGTTGGGAGTATAGCTCAGTGGCACAAGTGCCTGCCCGACAAGTGCAAGGTCCTGAGTTCAATCCCTGGTACAAAAAACAAAAAAAAGGAAGAAGAATAAAATACTCTAATGATAGGTATAATACATAATTATTTTAAAAGACTTTGGTCTGTTTCCTTTGAATGCAAAAACATTGCAGGCAGTGAGAATATTAGCAGATCTGGTACTTCCAGTCCACCCCTTAAAACCAAAACATCTACAACTCTGAAACATACATATCATATTATATGCATAAAATTAACTTGGAATATAGAGCTTTCTTTTTTATAGTTTACAGCTTCGCCACACTAACCCCTAAAAAACTGTATGTGATATTAAAAATTCACAGGATGTTCATGAAGGATATGATTCATAGTTTTCTTCTCTGATAACATAATCTAGATTAGCTATTACAGTAATGCTGGTCTCATAAGATGAGTTGGAAGTGTTTTGTCCCCTTCTGTTTCCTAGAAGAGATTGTGTAGAATTGGTATCATTTTTTTTCATATGTTTGGTAGAATTTAACAAGCACAACCTGGGTCTAGGGTTTTCTCTGCAGATTTTTACTAATGATTTCTTTGTAGACTTTTACTTATGAGTTCAGTTTCATTAATAGATATGGGACATTCACTTCAGTGATTGTTGATTATATCATTTAAGGAATTGCTCTATATCATCTGACATGTCTAATTTGTGGTTATAGAGTGTTTATATTTCTTTTTTTCCTGGTACTTGGAGTTAAACCCAGGGAACACTCTCACAGACCTACATCCCTAGCCTGTCTTTCTTTCTTTCTTTCTTTCTTTCTCTTTCTTTCTTTCTTTCTTTCTTTCTT